TCATACATTACACTAAGAGACCAATAGGATGGCACTCGAGAGGGGGGGCGGTCTCAAACAAAGCGAGTGAAGCTGAGCATTGCATCGAACTTCAGCTGCCTGCCTGTCTGTCCGGCTCTACTGATTACAGAATGTAGCTTCCATGGGCTTTCAGCAAATACCAACGTTGGTAACAAAGGCTGCAGGTGCTCTCTGACTGTCATGCTGATCCATTGGCTTCAGTGCTTTCTAACTCGCTGACCCAAAAGAATTATGCAGGTGATGGTCAATACTGGCTTCACTTGTCACTTGCTTGTTCAAGATCTAATAGAAAGTATTGAAGCCACTGGATAAGCATGGCAGCCAGGCAATGTTATCTTCATGGTTATGAGCAGATTGAGTAGCAGCCTACAAATCTCCTGAGCTCAAGTCAACCCCTCCCACCAATGTATTGCTGGTCCCTGACTATATAGGACTTCGCTGACTAAGGGGATGGGTAGTTGCACACCAGAGCCTCCTTGTGTTTCCTGGGGTGCTCTGGAAGGCATTGCAGTGTATGCACAGGCACCTCCGTGTCATTGTATTTCTAAAACAATACATTATACAGCAATGTAGAATACCACCAGCTATAGAGGACTACAAATCCCAGCAATACATTATACAGCAATGCAGAATAATATGAAGCTACATACTCTGTGTTGCTCCGGCGTGCCCGCCTGATATCTCCAGAAGTCCCATGTGGGCTGTGTGGGGGGGTCTCAGGCGGGGTCTCACCCAAGGTCCAGAGGGTCTTGTGGGCGACGTTGTTGCCCCAAAAGGAGGAGCAGATGTTCAGGCCGGTGCTGTAAACAAGTGCCACGGTTCAAAGGAAGGCTTCCGCAGTCCTCATCAAGGGCGGGACCTCAGGCAGCGGCTTTAGTTTAAAAATGTAAAGCGCCGGTATCTGCGTTTTATTATTGAGGCAGTATCGGCACCTATGCAGGTATCGGTGCATCCCTAATTTTTATTGTAGGGTTTCCGTTTATGACAGGTACACATTATATTTTGTTGTAGGGTCCCCAGTGATGACAGGTACACTTTATATTTTGTTGTAGGGTTTCCAGTGATGACAGGTACGCTTTATATTTTGTTGTAGGGTCTCCAGTGATGACAGGGACACTTTATATTTTGTTGTAGGGTCTCCAGTGATGACAGGGACACTTTATATTTTGTTGTAGGGTCTCCAGTGATGACAGGGACACTTTATATTTTGTTGTAGGGTCTCCAGTGATGACAGGGACACTTTATATTTTGTTGTAGGGTCTCCAGTGATGACAGGGACACTTTATATTTTGTTGTAGGGTCTCCAGTGATGACAGGGACACTTTATATTTTGTTGTAGGGTCTCCAGTGATGACAGGGACACTTTATATTTTGTTGTAGGGTCTCCAGTGATGACAGGGACACTTTATATTTTGTTGTAGGGTCTCCAGTGATGACAGGGACACTTTATATTTTGTTGTAGGGTCTCCAGTGATGACAGGGACACTTTATATTTTGTTGTAGGGTCTCCAGTGATGACAGGGACACTTTATATTTTGTTGTAGGGTCTCCAGTGATGACAGGGACACTTTATATTTTGTTGTAGGGTCTCCAGTGATGACAGGGACACTTTATATTTTGTTGTAGGGTCTCCAGTGATGACAGGGACACTTTATATTTTGTTGTAGGGTCTCCAGTGATGACAGGGACACTTTATATTTTGTTGTAGGGTCTCCAGTGATGACAGGGACACTTTATATTTTGTTGTAGGGTCTCCAGTGATGACAGGGACACTTTATATTTTGTTGTAGGGTCTCCAGTGATGACAGGGACACTTTATATTTTGTTGTAGGGTCTCCAGTGATGACAGGGACACTTTATATTTTGTTGTAGGGTCTCCAGTGATGACAGGGACACTTTATATTTTGTTGTAGGGTCTCCAGTGATGACAGGGACACTTTATATTTTGTTGTAGGGTCTCCAGTGATGACAGGGACACTTTATATTTTGTTGTAGGGTCTCCAGTGATGACAGGGACACTTTATATTTTGTTGTAGGGTCTCCAGTGATGACAGGGACACTTTATATTTTGTTGTAGGGTCTCCAGTGATGACAGGGACACTTTATATTTTGTTGTAGGGTCTCCAGTGATGACAGGGACACTTTATATTTTGTTGTAGGGTCTCCAGTGATGACAGGGACACTTTATATTTTGTTGTAGGGTCTCCAGTGATGACAGGGACACTTTATATTTTGTTGTAGGGTCTCCAGTGATGACAGGGACACTTTATATTTTGTTGTAGGGTCTCCAGTGATGACAGGGACACTTTATATTTTGTTGTAGGGTCTCCAGTGATGACAGGGACACTTTATATTTTGTTGTAGGGTCTCCAGTGATGACAGGGACACTTTATATTTTGTTGTAGGGTCTCCAGTGATGACAGGGACACTTTATATTTTGTTGTAGGGTCTCCAGTGATGACAGGGACACTTTATATTTTGTTGTAGGGTCTCCAGTGATGACAGGGACACTTTATATTTTGTTGTAGGGTCTCCAGTGATGACAGGGACACTTTATATTTTGTTGTAGGGTCTCCAGTGATGACAGGGACACTTTATATTTTGTTGTAGGGTCTCCAGTGATGACAGGGACACTTTATATTTTGTTGTAGGGTCTCCAGTGATGACAGGGACACTTTATATTTTGTTGTAGGGTTTCCAGTGATGACAGGTACACTTTTGGATATTTTTGTAAAATCTTTCTTCGTTCCTCATTTCATCTTTACAGACGCTGCCATTGCTGCCGCGCAGAAGACTATCCCCGTGGAAGTGAAGAAGACCCCCATCTGCTTCACCCTGCAGGAGATGCTCCTGGACTATTACAGGACTGAGGCCTGCGTGCCGGAACCTCAGACAGACGCAGTCCGACAGCTGGTGCTGGACATCAGGAACGAGCTGCAGGACTTCCTGAAGGCCAAGCACCCCGAAATGCTTTTCTCTGCCCTGCAGCTAGGGGGCGCGCTGGGTGACGGACTGCCCTTGGCCTGCATAGACCACACGTGCTTGCTGCTGCCGCTGATCCTGGAGCCCCATTTGTGGACTTTTGTTCCGGGTCAGACGACGATCCTGAATGACCCTCGGTTCTGGATGATCAAGAGGGTCAACCTGGAGTACACGGCCCGGGGAAGCAGCCCCTGGGATCGCTTCATGTTGGGGGGCTACCTCTCGACGCAGACTATCGTGGAGTCCTTGCACAAGGTGATTGTTGGGTCCATCAACTGGCCGTCCATAGGGACAGTATTGGACTGCACCATAAGGCCCCTCATTAACCCCAACGACCTTCAACTGGAGGTGACCCACCATGACTTCACACTAACCATCGACATTCTCCCGACGGCTGAGACCAATGACGTGCTCCTGCTGGCTTACTCTCACGCAACGGCTCCTGCCGAAAACCTTTGGCACAGAAGCTTCTACCTCCAGGAAACGACCCGGCTGCGGAACCTGGACAGCGCCGACCTAGGCGTGCGACAACAATGCCTCCAGATTCTAAAGAGCGTCTGCAAAAAGCGGCCCGGCCTGGCTCGGCTGTCTTCCACCCACCTAAGGCACGTCCTCCTACATGTCAGCAAGGAGCCCTCTGATTGGGCGGAGGCTGCTTTGTCTGATCGCTTCCTGCAAGTCATCGAGTCCCTGATTGGATACTTGGATGGCGGGTTCCTCCCGTGTTATTTCGACGAGGCCGTCAATGTATTTTCTTCTCTGACGGAGGACGACATAGACGAGATGGGGTACGGTTTGTATCAGATTTTCTCCCGGCCGGAGTCGCTGATGAACAAATGAGACGCCTCGCTCTCGGTTTACCGCGATAGCCGGCGGCACAAGACCAGCGGCCATTTTATTTAGCGCTCTGGGTGAAATTCTGAGCCGGTTGTCGGAGTATTGAAGACAAATCGCCATCTGAGGACTTTCTTACTACCTGCTCTTCCATAGTCAGTATGTACTCAATCATTTTCTTGTCTCTTTTTTTTTACAATCAGAAGGAAAGGAGATTGTGATTTAAAGGAGACGTCCGTGCAATCTAAAAATTAACCCTTGCCACCTCCTCGCTGTAAGGGCAGGTTCACACCATTTCCCGGACCAGATGTGGTCCGGAAAATGGTGGAACCTGCTCATAGTTCCAGTGCATTCCAGACCAGTCAAAATGAGACATGCAGTATTCTTCTGGCCTGGTCTGGAACGGACTGCGCTGGTGTGAACAGAGGCCAGAAATAGCATGGGGATACATTAGGAGGCATTTTGAGTCCGGAAACAATCTGGTCTGCAGATGATGTGGTATGAATTCGCCCTAAAGGGTATCTGCTCATTTTGGTCTAGACCAGGGGTAGGCAACCTTGGCTCTCCAGCTGTGCTGAAGCTACAAATCCCATCATGCTTCTGCCTCTGGGAGTCATGCCTGTGGCTTGCAATGCCTTATGGGATTTGTAGTTTCAGCACAGGTGGGGAGCCAAGGTTGCCTACCCCTGGCTTAGGGTCTGAAATAAGATATACTCACCTGATCCTCGGTCCTGCAGCAGTGACCTCTCTCTCCCTCTGTTCTGGCTGTGAAACCCCCCCACCCCAGGGTCCTCACATCTAATGCAGCTGACATCACAGGTCTTTAGAGACCAGGGATAAGACGACAC